GAGAGAGAGAGAGAGAGAGAGAGAGAGAGAGAGAGAGAGAGAGAGAGAGAGAGAGAGAGAGAGAGAGAGAGAGAGGCAGAGAGAGACAGACAGAGAGACAGACAGAGAGAGAGACAGACACAGAGAGAGCGAGAGAGAGAGAGAGGTTCCTAAAGGGGGGATTCTTGCAGTCTGTAGCTTCATGGATTGTCCCTTTGCTGAGGATTGCCTTCATGATGGTCCTCTGACATGGATTTCATCCAGCAAGCAAGAGACAGACAGAGACAGAGACAGAGACAGAGACAGAGACAGAGACAGAGACAGAGACAGCCGCATTGAAATGTATGTCGACCTAAAAGCAAGTTTTGTGGCTCTTTGATGGAGGGCCCTACCTGTTCAAGACAAGAAACCGAAGAAGGCTGGCGTAAAACGGGGGATCGCCCTTTCGCGCCACCCTTCTTCCTTTGTGGTAAAGTATCTCACTCTGCTGGTGGCAGGGCCAAAACAATAGACACCTTTGTCCTTTTCCAGGGCCGTCTGGATGTGGGGCGAATGCAGTTTCATCTTCTCCCATGGAGGGCATGAAGATGGATGTTCATCATGGGGGAAAAAAAAACACGAACATCGAGGGTGGTGTTTACTTATTGGTGCTGGTGTTCTGACAGCCGTATCAGTCATAGCAACCAAGAGGTCAGCACAGGACCAAGCCAAGCAAGCTGCACCTGCACCTTTTCAAAAAGATGCAGCAGAACTGAACTACCTCATCTTCTGGATGATCAAGAACGCGAGCGCGCCAGCACAGGACTACACAAGCAACAACTCACACCCGCAGTACACGGCCCCAACCTTGCAGTCCGAAACTCGTCGCCACAAGAAAACGAGGCCGGAACGTCAGATGCTGGGCCTGCCGTCGATACCTTGAATCGGCTGTCGCGTTTTCGTTTCCACGCTTCCAGAATTTGGGGTGGCAGGGCCGTGGCCCACTGGCCCAGGTGCGCATATACTGGTGTTTTAATTAAGCCTCCAGTTCACAAGAGCCTAAGTTGACGAAGCTGGTAGCTTCCAAGGCTTGCGACCCTGTAACTGCCCCTTCTATTTAAGTGGCGTGCGGCGTTCGCTACCGGCCCAGGCCCGAATCGAAACGCTCTAAGTAGAAACGATGGCGCGCAGCGTTCGATACCGGCCCAGGCCCGAATCTTACCGGTAAGAGCAGTACTTAGGCTCGGGTGCAGTGGCGATTTACCGGGGCGAGAACTGGTGGTTTAATGGGGGGAGAACTGGTGGTTCAACGGGGGGTGAACTGGCGGTTTAACGGGGGGTGCACTGGCGGTTTAACGGGGGG